TCTTCCCCCCTCCCCTTGCCTTTATCCTCTTTCCCCCTCCCTCCTCCCTCTCCCCTCCCCCCTCTCTCACTCTACTACTCCTTATCCTAATCTCAGAGTTTTCAAGAGATTATTAGAATATACTCGATCTCGCTTCTCTCTCTCTCTCTCTCTCTCTCTCTCTTCTCTCTCTCCTCTCTCTCTCTCTCTCTCTCTCTCTCTCTCTCTCTCTCTCTCTCTCTCTCTCTCTCCTTCTTCACTCTCTCTCCATCTCCCCTCTCTCCATCTTACAAACCCCCTCCCAACCCCTCCCCTCCCCCTTCAGCATATATAGGCTTATCAGTGTGACCCCGTTTTTTTTAGTTTTGATAGTTATCGTGGTCTTATCGGCGAGGTGACAGTGGTGGGGGGTAGGGGGTGAATGGGGTGGGGGGTGAGGAGCGAGAGTAGGGGACGGTGAGGGGATTAAGGAGGGGGGAGGGGGATTTAGCGGGCACGGCTTTTGGTTCATATTTTGGTCCCATTTGGAGGTTGGGGGAGGGGGTGGGGGATAGGGGAAGGGAAAGGGGAGGAGAGGAGAAATTGAGGGGTGGGGAAGGAGTGAGGGTGGGGGAAGGGGGGAGGTTGAGGTTGTGGGTAAAAGGGTAAGGGAGGGAGATTGCAGGGGGAGGGGGGGGCGATAAGGTATGCAGGAGGTTGAGAGGTGAGGGGTGATTGCAGGGGTAGAGAAGGGATTAGGTAAGAGATTGAGGATGAGGATGAGGAGGAGAGGGGGTTAAAGGGGGAGATAGCGTGGAGGGGAAGGGGTAATAGGGAGGGGAAGGGGAGAGAGAGAGGAATGGGAAGATGGAGAGGGAGAGGGGGGGTAAAGGAGGAGTTGGAGTTGAAGGGTGTGTGTGTGAGTATGTGGTGGGGGGAGTGGAGGGTTAAGGGGTGGGTAGTGGGCTGGTGGAGTTGTGTGGTGAGGCTGGATTTTGGTTGGTTTGTGGGTTGGGGGTTACTAATATTTCTTGATATTTCTTGCTTTCTTTTCCTCTCATTTCTATTCCTTCCTCTCTCTCTCTTTCTCTTCCCCTTCCTCCTCTGTCTCCCTCTCTCCCTCTCTAACTCCTTCCCCCTTTAGTCTCTCCTTCTCCCTTTCTCACCTTCCCTTCCTCCCTCCAACCACCCATCCATTCCGTCCCTCCCTCCTTATCACCCTCCTTCCCCCTTTCCCTCCTTCCCTCCCTCCCTTCCTCGCTCCTCTGTTCGAGTTGGAGGCCGACGACAAAGACCGACCCATATGAGGCCGAGGGGAGGCCGCGTTCACACTTAGGATGTATGAGGGTCTTTGTTTGCTTTATCACTCTCTCTCACTCACTCATTCGCTCGCTCACACTCACTCACATCAAACGCGCTTACACGTCCTGTCACTCTCTGAATCACTCACTCACTCACTCACGTGCATTACCGTCCTTCTCACTCACTCACTCACTCACTCACTCACTCACTCACTCACGAGCTTACACCGTTCTTTCACTCTCTCACTCACCTCACTCACTCACTCACATCACGCGGTTACACGTCCTTTCACTCTCACTCAACTCACTCACATACAGCGGTTACACGTCCTGGTCTCTCACTCCTCACTCACGCGCTTACAACGTCGTCACTCTCTCACTTCACTCACTCACTCACTCACTCACTCACTCACTCACTCACGTGCATACACGTCCTTTCACTCTCTCACTCATCGTCACACGCGCCTTACACGTCAATGTCACTCCTCTCACTCACCACGCGCCTTCACGTCCTGTCACTCTCTCCTCACTCATCACTCACTTCACTCANGAGAGAGGAGAGAGAGAGAAAGAGAAAGAGCAAGAGAAAGAGAAAGAGAGAGAGAGAGAGAGAGAGAGAGAGAGAGAGAGAGAGAGAGAGAGAGAGAGAGAGAGAGAGAGAGAGAGAATGAGAGAGAAAGAAAGAAAGAAAGAGAGAGAGAGACCGATTACGAGTTCGCTGTACTTTCCCCTACTCTGTATGATAAAAACTCTACGAACGTTGTCCTTCCCTGTTTCATGTCATTGATTTCCCTTCACTCTGAAACACAGTCCACTCACCTTTCACATTCACGACTCGTACAGTTTATACTGAATTCGAGAAAAAAAATCCAGCAAATAAAGTATAAAAGTGGCGTTTTCCTTTTATCAGGGATATAATCATATATCAATTACAGCACTCGGTTTTGTGAAATGTTTTACACATATTCAGTATATATATAATATATATATATATATATATATATATATATATATATATATATATATATATATATAATATATATATATGTACATGTGTATGTACAAACAGAATATGCAATTTTTTTTTGGTTGGTTGTTTGTTTCGTAATATATGTATTCATCCTGATATGTAAGTATGTTTATTCATTCTTATACACGTATGTATGCCGATTAATATGAAAGTATGTATGAATATTGCGATGTAAGTGTGTACGTTTGTATGAATACTAATATGTACGAATGTATGAATACTAATATGTACTTATGTATGAAAATTGATATGTGCGTATGTATGAATACTAATATGTACATATAGATATTTTTATATGTATGAATGTGCACAATAAAGCAGGTATAGGTAGCCTTTCCTATGTAAGCATGTTTCCTTTGATGTGTGTATGTTCCGGATCAGTGTATATTTCATATGTATACGTATACTTTCATGTACGCACCACACAATAGTATACAACATAGCCAAGCAAGACACTGACGTAAAGCCACATATCCATACCTTATATCCCCTTAGATCTAAGTCAACAAACGGATATATTTGACGATATTTCAACATTGCAGATTCCCCCTACATCCTTCACTGCAACAGCTCAAACTCAGGACATGAAATGAATTAGATTCTTTGCGTCGCCCAGGAATTAGTGCCAACAAGACACAAGACCTTCATTTGTTTACTCTGAATTGCAAGCGATACATCCACATTGCATGGGCTGCTGTCGCTTTGCAACTTTTGAAATCGAGTAATTTGCAAATGGAATCGCCATAAAAGTAAAAATAAACTAAAAAAGGTTAGAGACAGAGACAATAGTTTCGAATTCTATATGTTTCAATACAGAGGAGACTAGGTGCGCACAACAAAAATGATAACATGTACATGGAATACAGAGTAAAAGGAAACAAGAAAAATAAGAAATAAAGAAATAAAATGTACGAAGAAAAAATCATTATCAAAAGAAAACGAAAATAAAGAGTTGTCGGCCTCATTTCTTGATGCGCAGCGATAGGAAAAAATAAAAAGCAAAACAAAGAAATAACAAGAAAAAACGAAAAAAAAGATGGAGAAACAAAAGACAGCTGCGATAATGACGAAAATGAGGTTAGGAAAAGATGGGAGAGAAAAAGAACACAAAATCGTCTATTAAAAAAGGGGGAACAGGAAAAGAGGAATATTTCTGGAGAATAAAAAGGCAGAGTAAATAGAGGGAAAAAAGGCACCAACGCCCTCCGGTTCTTGTTTATTTATTTCTTGTCTCTCTCTTTCCTTCCCTCTTCTCAATATGTATCTATTACCATTCTACTTTCTTCTTAATCCCATTCTATCTTCCCTTTCACTCTCCCCTCTGTTCATTTCTCCTTTTATGTTATTTTTTAAATCTCTCTTTCGATGTTAATCATTCCTTTTTTCCAATTCTATCTCTTTCCTCGCCCCCCCCACCTCTTTTCCTTTCCCTCCTCCTCTCTTCCCTTCCCCTCCTCCCTCACTTCCCAATTTTACTCTCCACCATCTTTACTCTGACTTTTTCTCCTCCCAATTTTACTCTCCACCATCTTTACTCTTACTTTTCTCTTCCCAATCTTACTCCCCACCATCTTTACTCTCTCTCTTTCTCTTCCCATTCCCTCCTTTACACCCCACCATTTTTACTCTTACTCTTCCCAGTTTTACTCTCCACCATCTTTACTTCCTCTCTTTCTCTTCCCATTCCCTCCTTTACTCCCTACCATCCTTACTCTTACTCTTCCCAATTTTACTCTCCACAATCTTTACTTTCTCTCTTTCTCTTCCCATTCCCTCCTTTACTCCCCACCATTTTTACTCTTACTCTTTCCCCTCCCAATTTTACTCTCCCGCTCTTCCCTCACTCGAACCCCGCATCCTATCGGGCCATACCATCTTCCTCCCCCCCTCACCATACCCGCTCGACCTCCAAAGGCTATCTTTCCACACTCCGGCAGCCTCAATCACACCGCCATGCGATCAGCTGGTCCTCGTGTGCGCAGGTGGAGGGGGGGGGGGGAAGGGGAAAGGGGAAGGAAGGCGGGTCGGGGATTTTTTAACTGGTTTTAGTTTTGTTCATTGTCATGTTTATATGTATATAGAAACATATATATATATATATATATATATATATATATATATATATATATGATTATATATATATATATATATATATATATATATATATATATATTATATATATGTATATGTTATTTATATCATATGTATGCATATATCATATACATACATGTATACATTTTTTCCTTTTGCGTTTGTATTTCAGATGTATTTATGTTATATATATATATATATATATATATATATATATATATATATATATATATATATATATATATATATATATAGAGAGAGAGAGAGAGAGAGAGAGAGAGAGAGAGAGAGAGAGAGAGAGAGAGAGAGAGAGAGAGAAGAGAGGAAGAGGAAGAGGAGAATGAGAGGAGAGGAAGAGGAGAAGGAGAATGAGAGAGAGAGAGTACATAGACAGATAGATCGAAAGAGAGAGATACAGCGATAGAAATAGATACAGAGAGAAAGGATCGATATACACCACCCACACGTATCCATCTTGCAATTCCCCACTTACCGGAATACCTCAAACCACCTCAAGTACACTCTACATCAGAGCACCTCACTTACCCCCCCCCCCCCACCCTCATCCACCACCGCGACACCCAAATTACCTCGTCTTTTTCCCCTTCAATTCCAGGCCT